TCCCATTGATTCCTGGGGTCTTAATTTTTGCCAATGCCTTCAGTGCAGCTTGAACTTCTTCCTTCATTTATATTTTTTGTTTCTTTCTTTTTTTGGTAGTTTAATATACACATCTTCAATAAATTTCTTTTTTAAAGGAATGAATTGTGAGAAAAGAAAACATACGAGACAGAAAAATATGGGATAGAAAATAAATATAAATGTAAGCTGATTTATTAGTTGCTTTATAACAACAGTAAACTGGTACAGAGGAAGGTCCTGTAGAAAACAGAACAAGGTTCAAAGATGGAGGCATTTTCTTAGCAAGATTTAAGAATCTGGTATTTACAATTTAGGCTACAGTTTTTGTTTCTGTGTTGATGACTGGATTTGTGGGCACAGTCCATGTTTTAACCAGATTTGAACAGAAGAATGGTGACTTGGCCCAGGAAGAAGTAGATGAAGTGCTTAGTTTTGTGTGTCACATTAACTACTGAAGTTTCTCCCCATGATGCAGTACCAGGTGGGGTTGTCCTTCTTGTCAAATGCCTTCTTGATGTGGGCCACAACATCCCTCTCTATGTTGTATGTCTCCAACTTCTCGTTTGCGCACCCCACGGAGTCTTGTTGCATCTCTTCCGACATGTCGACATTTTAAATGACTGTCTTTTAATCTCACATGTTTACCATGGAGCAGGGACTCAGCAACCCTGGCGGTTTTCTGGGGGAGTGGTTAGAGCAACTCAAGCCCAAAGCCATGGTACATCTCTACCACTGCCTCTTGATCATATGATATTTACTGAAATATTTCAATGTCAAGCCAGTTCTTTTGGTACAGTGTTTCTGTGTATATTCCCTCCATCTTATTTTTTAATGGAAACTAGTTATTGTTTAATTGTGATGTTTTAAAACTGTACAATTTCTTTGACTCCTTTTCCCCACTCCTATAATTAGCTTGTTGTTGTTGTTATGTGTTGTCGAGTCGCTTGCGACTCATAGCGACCCTATGTACAACAGTCCTCAACTCTGCTCTGTCGTGTACCAATCGCACTGTCTCTCTGACACTCCCATCCCAATTACCCCAGTCACTGAATCCATCCACCTCATAGAGGGCCTTCCCCTCCTGCACTGTCCCTCCATCCTACCAAGCAAGATGTCCCTCTCCAAGGACTGGTCCCTCCTTACAACATGTCCAAAGTATGT